TATATATATATATATAGCTTTACACACACATTGAAGAGGAACTTTACCTATATGTTCAAAATAACAACAAATGCACCTTTAGAAATGTTAAGTAATGATAATCTACAAACATACTTATACACTGAGTGGCCAGTTTATTATGACCACCTGACCTTTGTAGGCAAATTAGCTATAATTAGCTATAATTTCGCGCTGAAGTTGCTAGAGGGCCAGATCATTATAAATAGGGAAGCAGGTTACCACGGCAGTAGAAGTGATTTGTTTCTGAAGATATGGGTAAACAACGCGATTTAACAGCCTTTGAACGTGGGATGATTGTTGGTGCTCGGAGCCATGGAGCGAGTATCAGCAAAACATTCAAAACATGTTAAATGTTCAAGAGCAGCTGTTGTTAAAGTGTTTAAAGACTGGACTGTCAGCAGTAAATCTGGGTCTGAGCATGCGAATTGTGGCCATCAGCGACTAGTCAATGTTAGGGCAGAACGGAGAGTGGCAAGACTGGTACAAGACAACAGAAGGGCAACAGTGCAGCGTCAGATTCCTCGCATCACCTTTCAACATCTCGTGGAGTCACGAGGCAGCCCAACAAAGTACTGATGGGGTGGTCATAAAAATTTGGCCACTCAGGTTAGATATTTGCAGACTTTTTATTCTTTGCATACCTTATTTCTCTTTTCTTCCCCAGTCTTCTGGCAGTGGCCATGTTTTCTAAAGGGCAGAATACTAGATCTCCTTTTACTTCCTGTATTTCTGGCACATGTGACTAGGACATGTGACCAGGACAAGTGACCTTGCACATCATCTCAGGGGAGGAAAATGCCTTTCCCTGAGATCTGGTGAGATTACAGATGAGACTTCAAAGCAATGCACTGTGATGTAACATTCCCAGGATGCAATGCTTGGGCATGATTACATCACTAATGACCAAGAGGAGAAAGAAGTGGAAAAAAAGAAATTGTAAGTAAAATAAAGATACGCATGTTTAACTAATGAATGTAAGATTATTTCATAACACCATGCAGAGCTGAATTCTGATGTGATTTTAACTCAAAGGGGGTAAAGGTCCACTTTAAGCACAGTCTTTTTCAAACTTGGTTTTGGTTGGACTTCCTCTTTAATATTAGGATGGTAAGCCATAAGCCCCTCCACTAACCTTCCACAGTTCCCATATGCAAATTAAATTTGAAACTCTACCTTTGTTGAGAAGACATTTACAGTTGGATAGAAGATACAATTAAATGCAATTAGAACAGAAGAAATTACAGTTCCTACCAGGAGAATTAGATACATTATATATGTGAGTATTTTAGCAAACATTATGGCAGATAACCCAACAGATTGGTGGCTCACCCAGAATGGGAAGAAAATATATATTTGTCAGAGGATCTTGATCCACTACTACTAATACTACTATTAGTATTATACTGTAACCTATTCAGCAAGTGATAGACATTATCATCAGATTCCAAAGTATTTGGTAGCACCAAATAAACTACTGGAAAATAAGTTCCATCTGTATTTAAGGCTAAATAGAGAAATTTGCAATGTTCTTATTTTCAAAAGCCACCTGCCGATTTTGCTATCTTCTTTTTAAAGACTATCATTTATCGGGGATTAAAACACAGCACACAAAAAAATCATCTAAACTTCGCTTTCTGTCTTCCAGTAAAAGAGACCTAATGATGAAATTGAAACAAACAAAGAAGACATGTGAAGCTGCTGTTTCTCCTCCTGAACTGTGTCACCCAAGTTGCCGCTTTCAAAAGCATCTTGTCTGGCCACTGAATGGAGGAAATCTCTTAGAAAATAAGTCTGATTGTCGTCCCAGGAGCTGGCCACAAATTAGCCTTGTCAAAATCCAGAGCCAGTGAAATGCACCTTTTTCTGTCTCTTGCCTTGTCTGACTAGCTGTGACACATGTACAATGTCATAAAATAAAAAGTAACACAAATACAATGATAGGTAAAATTACTGAGAAAAAAATTACAATATATGATGGCTGGGGCCAGCTAAGTGGTTGATACTCTAGCTTGTAGGGCTAGGACCCTATATTCAAACTCCTCTAGTACATCAAAGCCCACAATTTCCACTCGCCTGCTCGCATTTGGCGAGTGGAAATGCAGTGCAGGCGAGTGGAAACTCAGTCAGGCTTGCAGTCATGGACCGCGTGCCTGACTTGTGGGAGCAGCTGCTCCTGGCTGTCTGTGCTTTTAGCCGCAGCTCTTCACTGAG